ATCATAAGAATTTGCACACCTTACCTTGAAGATGTTTTCTAAGGTACTATAATCTCAAAAAGGGCTCAAATATTACCAAATATAACCGACTTCCAATCAGACAAAAAATTAAACTTCTAACGGAAAAGTTGATTATACGCAGAACAAATAAATTTGATAAGTTAACACCGAAAATTTTCATTTTGTAAGTGTTGTGAGCTATTTTATAGGAAATTCGGCCAACTATGTATAATGTAACTTGTTGTGAATAGTACTTAGGTCAGGAAGGACAACATTGCAGTATAAAAATATTCTTTTATGTAATACGTAGCGCATTGTAAGTAAAGGGGTAACAGAAAGGAGCACATTTGATTTCTTGGCGATGAACTAAAAGTAATGTTAAGTAGCGTAATGTTTTATTGGCTGCAGCTAGTGACATGAACAACGTAAACTATTAGGGGCTTAAGCAAGGACGACGGCGACGTCGAGGACGAAGCCTAATAAAAAATGAATTTATATTTTACCAGCGAGATTCGTGACTATCTAGATCTGTTCAGAACGCCAATGAATCTAAAGACGTCCTCAGGCTAAGTATGTAATGGCACGTACAGCGTCCAGTTCCAAATAGAAATACGAAAAATTAGCCGTCGTCGTTCGCGTTCCTCAGACGAAGCAGAACTTGGTCATTTCACGTTCTTGTTTTGCAGAGGACGGTAAAGAAATGTACAAAGATTTATAATGCACAGCTATTGTTTTCTTCATTAAATCTTTTGTTTGCTGTCGTTCTCGTTGCCTTCGTCGTGGTTTGTTTAAGCTCCCTATGGTTTGTTCGGTAAATAATTGACTTCAGAGTTAACAGTATAGTTAGTGGTTGCAGTCGTCTCTGTGGTCACACCAATGCTGTTAATTGTAGTTGATTTTGATTAGCCTTTGGATGACGTCAGACTTAAAGTAGCTCATTACAGCCCTTATTAGGTGATCTGTGAAATGCAAACATGGCTGTTCGCAGAAGATTGTCGTTCTAGTTTGATATCTTCATCCAGGAAACCATCGTCGAAAATTACGAAGTATGGTCAAACTTTAAAGTCTTAAAAGCATGTTACAATGGATACACGTGAAGTTTTCGCTTTATGTAAACGCTTCTTTGCTTTCTGTTGTTTCTCTTTTTTCACCCCGCTATTTTTCATGCTTGGTTTTATTCTGCATAATTATGTTCATCCCACACGTACTAGACTGCATTGTGATTGGGGTTTCGTTTACAAAGTAAGGGCGCCTTGATTCAATGAAAAATTCCTGTTTGAATTTCAGGAAATTTTAAGTGGCAAATAGAACTGTATTCTCCGAAATTTCCGGAAAAGAGGACAACCTTGCGAGGTATGTCGAAATTTTCGGAATTTTTTTGAACGGAAATTACCGTTCCATTTGACTTTCCTCCCGGAGTTTCCAGAATTTTTGGTTGAATAATTCGCTCTTCGGAAATTTAACAATTTCCGGATTTTCTGCAAATTTTTCCAGGAAATGTCCGTACCGTTTGTCCCCGTAGGAAAGGATGGAGAACAATGGAAAACGTTTTAAGGCTTAGCAATGAGTAGTTTCCAATGAGTTATAAATAATAAATAATAAAATGAATAATAAATAGGAATTTGCAGTGGCACATCCCACAGAGCGGCTCTTTGTCCACTGTTTCCACATCGAACTGGGATTAAGGAATTTAGAATGAGTAGTGTTAGTAACACACATCGTAAGTAATAACCGAGGTGTACCGTCAGTAACTTTCTTGTTATGCACTATAGCGAATGTAACGTTAGTAGTGTAATGTTAGTAAGCTAAGTGATAAAATGAACAATGATAGGGCATATGGCCATTGCTATAGCTTTTCCGTGATTTAGCGATCTTGGACGTTCGGTGACCCCTCTTTTTCTTTTGATGAATCATTTTTTCCACCGATTATCTACATTTAGCGAAAACTTCAAGAAAATCTATCCACTAGAAGTTTGAATTTTTTGCAAAATGCACCATCGAACTCGGTTCTTTTTAGCTCTTTGTTTATCTGTTTGACGGTTTCCAATGCCTCTTGAAGGGTTAAGTTTTGTGAAAACGTTGGCAACATTTGGAATTATTTACACAACAAACCCACTTCTACAAAATATGACTAAAATCGTTTGCCTCCGTTGACTCACCTTCGATATTTTTAAACCTAAACCCCTGTAGACCATACTGAATTACGTGCGCCAATTTTTCAAAATCAGGGTAGTTTTCCACACGCTTTATCTCTGAAACGAAGTCG